TAAACAATGGAATGAATCACAGACAGCTTTGACTGTTGTAGTAACAGACATGCATTCACACATAAGTCTTTTTCAGACAGAGGATATGAAACATTTCTGCTTATCAATCTGTTAAAATGATGGCAGTCTATCATTTGGATTCTATGTCACTTTTAATGTTCCTCACATTCATTCAGACATACCCACCACAGTGACAAAAAGAGTCACAGTTTGCACACATTTGTCATTCAAGTGAGACTGGACAGTATAGCAAGTGATGTATAATGGTAACTTTTTTTCCTTTTTCTTTTTTCTTTTTAAAGTTAATTTACTTTAATTTATTTTTAAAATTCTTACATCATTGTTATTCTTAAATTGCCCCCAGGGGACAAATAAAGTTATCTGAATTTGATTCAAAGACATACTACTGCAAAAATAAACAAATAACTCAATCTACACTAATAGCAGCTTATCAAACGATCAAAATAACTCATAACACATTTTATTCGCTTAAAGTTATGTCCGTGTGTGATGATAATCTAAGAAGTATGTTACAACGACCAAAAAAAAAAACATCCCGACAGCTGTGATAGAGCTCAGGAGTCAACCTGAGGACAGCTGCTATGCAACAAATGATTTAACTGCAGGTGATAAACAGTGACTCTGTGTGTGACAGTTTAACTACCTGAAGTGAAGAAAAGTACACAGTGTGGTTTGCCGTCGGATCCTGATCAATCCTGTCTCTATGTCTGTGTGCGTGTGCGTGCGTGTGTGTGTGTGTGTGTGTGTGTGTGTGTGTGTGTGTGTGTGTGTGTGTGACAAACTTTGTGTGAATCAATTTAAGTTGGAGACCTCAGGCCATGGTTTTACTTCTGACCTGACTTCAAAGGGATGTTTGAGGTTTACGACTGGGTAAAGTTAGGGTAAAGGATAAGGCAGGGCGGCAGTCAGCTTTCACCTGTGATGGTTAAGGTTCGGTTCAGTGTGAGGGCTCTCACAAAGATAGAAGTTGAAATGCGTGTGCGTCTGTGGGTGTTTGTCATGTGATTTTCCCACATACAACCCCTTAATGTTCCTTTTTAACCTCAACAACTGTTTTCTTGGTGTTATTGAACACAACAGCAAACCCCATCTTCTGTCACTCTGTAGAGTCCTTTATGAGTTGCCCGTTTCTAAAAAAACATAGATGTTTTTCATCGATCATGTCCTAATCTGTCAGACATCATTTTTAGTTGGTGACTGCTGACTTCATGAATTGACATGACAACAACCTTTGAGACTATGCAGACAATGAGTAATGTCTAGTAAACAGCTTACAAATCATCTTACTAATTATGAGCTAAATTGGTGTTTATCCACTCACAGTCATCTTTGCATTCATTATTGAAAATGTTAAGAATTTAAGTTTAAATACCTACACTTAGCTTCAAAACTACAGAATATTGTCAAACAGCTGACTGAAATACTCAGAAAAATATATTTCATAGTCATATTTCAATAATCTAACCCCAACTCAGCTACATGACTAAATGCTGCTTATATGGGTTATATGGGTTTAAATTTATTTATTTATTTATTTTTTATATCAGAATGAGAATGAGTGCAAAACATCAGGAAACAAAAAGTGCACAGGACAAAGTATAAAAAATTTTTAAAAGACGGGGGGGTATTTACATGGCTAAAGGGATAAAGAATAGACATACAAAACATAAGATATAGAACAAAAGATATGGATATAAAATAAAAAACATAAAATAAAAATTATAAAAACTACTGGGATATTACATTCAATAAGTTATTGCACTGGGAGTATTGCACTTGGGGTATGAACAGAGATTTTTTTACATTGAGGGATGATTAATGGGAATTTGCGGCGTTAAAGGCAACGACAGCTCTTGGGTAGAAACTGTTCTTTAGTCTGTTTATGATGGAATCATTAAAACTGCTGTCTTTTCCACACAAAAAAACATGCATTTTGGTTCTTTTAGAAACTTATTATTGGTCCTGTATCAAAATCAAAATTATACATACAGAAACTTGAATTATCAGTTTTGTTTTCTTAATGTCATGACCTTTTCACTGCTGACTTCTCTGAGCCAGTTTAAATAGTGCCCATTTGATCCAGTCACAAACACTACAATGGGAACATCTCAGGACCTCATTAACTTGAACAAGTAAGGAATGTCACTTAAGAGTCATTTTAAGCAGCATCAGATCCCAAAACCATCTGTGCAAACAGTTGTTTCTAAGTTTGTAAGTACTATGTATGGTACAGCTGTGTCACTGCCACAATCATGAGGAAAACACAAACTACAATCTTCAGCTGAGAGACAATTGATCAGGATGGTCAAGAGTCAACCAAGAATCACCAAAAAGCAGGTCTGCAATGAATAAGAAACTGCTGGAACACAGGTGTAAGTGTTCACAGTCAAGTGTGTTTTACATGATCATGGTCTGAGATGGTGTCATACCATAAGGAAACCCTTTCTTTGGTCAGATGAAACAAAAATAGAGCTGTTTGGCCACAAAGACCAGAAATACGTTGGGAGGAGAGAAGTTGAGGCTTTTAACCCCAAGAACACCAAACCTATCATCAACTAGGTGGTGGCACTATCATGCTCTGGTGCTACTTTGGTGCCAGGGGAACTGGGGCTTTACACAAAATGGAATAATGAAGAACGAGGATTAAGGAGTGGTCAAAGATACAACCAACAGCCCCTAAAATCACCTAGTTGAGGTGAACATGGCCAACAGACATGTAACTAAATATTAGCACTGCTACATGTATATGTTTGACCCAACAGATTTTGTCGTATTTTCAGAAGATCTCTAATTAAACTATGAAAGAACCAAAATCCATGATTGACATTTGTGACAAAGACATACGTGTTTCAATGATTCCATCAGAGAAAATTCAGAGTCATTGTAAACCTAAGACTGACACATTTTTGTTCACAACTGAACGTGTAGCTGTGAAAAAAGTAGCATTTGGAATGCAATTCCTCTACTGGCAACAAAGTGTTCTGCGAGGAAACCCTGGGTCCTGTTATTTATGTGGATTAGTGGTCAACTGATGGTTTTTTTTTTCTTCTTTTTTTCTGGGCAGATACTGATTATTAATAATCAAAGAAAACAATAACTTATATTTAGGATGGATATAGATACAAAGAAAGGAAAATCTTGATGTCAAAATTTAAAAAAAAAAAAATAAATTCAACACAAAGTTCTATGAAAATGCTTATTCATGTTTTACATGATTAATTTTTAGAAACTTTTCATCATTTATCCTTTGATTTGATAGATTATTACTTGGTGTGATGTGCAAGCAATCAGCGATTGAATCTAAGTTAAATATCATCCAACAATCCTTACTTTCAGTTGTTTTAAAACAGCTGCTGTATGTGATGCAACAGAGAGGAGACAAACCAAATGTTTTAAGAAATATATATGTCGATGATTTGAGTTTTTATTACTGATCATCACAATATCTGACCACTGGAACAGAAACAATATTTTTTTCATTTCTTCCATGTTCTTTTTGTTTTTCTTACCTTTTCTTATTTGAGACACAATTTCAAATGAGTGTAATTTGACACCATGTGCACCGTAGCTAAAAGAGGAAAGGTGAGATCGATAACAGAGTGTGAAATCAGTTAGAGTGGAGCGGAGGGGACTGTCTGTCTTTGATATGACAGTCATGGACATAAGACAGGCATATTTTAGTACCTTGAGTTCCTGAGCGTTGTCTGACAACAACAGTTGTGGCAGTGTGCAGAGTGCCCAGGACACAAAAAGCCACTGAGTTGAGGAGAAGAAGCTTCATAGCAGCCAACTCACTGCCTCTGACACAAAATGAATCCTGAATAATTAACTACCTGTCACCACAAGGAGACACACGCAAACACAGCACCCAGCCACTGTGGCTCTCGCCTAATAGCAAGAGTTGGATAAAGCAGCTCTGCTACTGTATGTACAAGACAGGATTGGAAAGTTAAAAGTTGGTTACTGTTGAAAGTGTGGACTACAGCTACAGCCACAAAGTACTTTCCTTGTTTTTGTTTATAATACTATTACTTCAATAGTCCTCCACTGATTTAGAATCAAAGATTGGTCAAATTTTTGCCTACGAACCATCAAAAGAAATATTTTAATGATCAATTAAAAAAAAAAAAAAAGTAGGTTAGGGAACCATCATATTGTGTTTTTAAGCAACCTCTCTAAGTGCTCTGCAGAAACAGTGGGAGACTATTTTTTCCTCAGTAGTTCATGCTATGTTCCACAAAAATTCTAATAATTTATAACCTAACCTGGCAGCACTAAGAAGTTTCAAGTGTGGCACACAGCTTATATTGGCTCCAATACTGTATCCATCACACATCATGGTTCAAATTTCTGTCAGTAACAGATACTCCATCTGTTTCCTTTACAGTCACATAATCAGAAACCGTAATGTGCAGACACTTAGCAACATTTTAACTTGACCATATATATATAAATCAATATCCATATCATTTTTTTGACATCCATCCATCCATCCATCCATCCACATTATTGAAAATAGTCTGCCTTCACTCACCATGAGATGGTCACACAGACACACTTTTCAATTCTGTCCTTTAACTATTCATTGGAAGCTCTTTCTGTATAACTTAATACAATTATCAGCTGCGGCTAAATGAAAATGGACAACCATGAAAGACATTGTTTCCTTGTGACATTTATAAGACTAGTATGACAACTAGCAGTAGAGATACAGTCAACTAAACTTAGAACAGATCTCGTAGCACGCTGGACAGAAACTCAGAGTCTCCACAGAACTCCACTGTAGGTCTTTCATGGGGAGCAGCATCTTTTTGTCTATGGATTTTCAAAATGCAACTCCTTGTCACCATCTTATATCTGTTCATCTGTGTTTGGTTCATTGCATTTACCCCTAAAAAAAACTTTCAGATGACAACTCTGAAAGTGCAGAAAATACAGAAGAAGGCTCAGTTCGGAAAGAAGGGATGATCGGTACTTACAAACTGCCTCGTCTGGGAAGGCTCAGCTCCTTCTGAAACACAGAAAAAAATGAGTCAATTTTTTTGTTCTTTGAATGAACATTTTGTAGTCAGTTGGTGAGAAACATTATCATAGATAAGACAGTATTGCAATTGTACGTCAAACATTGCATCTCTTGAACTGTTACTAAATGTCAGTACAGCTATTTGACCAACAGGTGTCACTGTGAGATAACAAAATAAATATTATTCCTGTTCCATTGACTCTGTCATTCAGGAGTTATATGAAGATATCTAACTTGAACAAAACATGTATAAATAATAACACAAAACTGATTTCATGATCTTCATGGGAATCAAACCAAAAAATGACATTTACTTTTGGTAACAGATGGAAGTCAGACCCTGTAGTCCCAAGTGAAAACCCTGTTTATCGCATAGCATCACAACATCCTATGACCACCACAGACTTTGTAGCAGTTTATATTCTCTTGTATTGGGCAGATGATTCCTGACACGTGGTGGATTTTTTAAAAGCCTGCGAAGGGAGCCAAGAGGAGGGCTAGTTTCCTCTTAGACCACTTGAGTTACAAGTTCTGGGTTATGCTGAAAGGCTAGCATGGACTTTTTGTCTCATGTCATCCACCTCAACAAAAAAAACAAAAAAAAAACAAAACTGTTTTTACCCCAGTGTAATGTCTGAACATGGGGAAGATTTATATTTTTGATGCAATTATCTTGCCGTTTTATATTGATGAATATTCGTATGTCTGAAATATTACAACACAGACCTGATATGTACAAAGGCTCCAAAGTGGACCAACAATACAGCCTTCTTGGAGACCACCATCTGGCTAACAGCACTAGTCTGTGTTTCTCGTG